AAATTAAAATAACAATATAAAATGTTTAAATTTGTTTAATGGCTCAACGTTCCGCCCCGTGGGCTTCCTCAGGAGCAACACATCATCATCATCATCATCATCATCATCATCATCATCATCATCATCATCATCATCATCATCATCATCATCATCGTTTATTGTTTTTATGATCATTATCATTTTTATTATCTCTCTCTTTTACTATTAATTTTATTATTGTTGTTGTTATTATTAGTATTTTGTGCTAAAAAGAAACACCAATCACTTTAAAAAAACCCACATATTTGAACTAACAATATCAATGGAGACTATTCTTATTTAAACCTGACAACAATAATAGGTTAAGGGATTTGGAGTCGTCAAACCAGTATTTTGAGACCAGAAAAACAAAACAAGCCGAGGCAATTTTCAACTCAAATCTAAATAGTGAGTCTAACTGAGGTACAATCTTTTAATATGAGGATAATATTTTTTTCCCTCCATCCTCAGAGCGATAGAGGTGTTTGTCCGTTGTACCTCGACGGGACAATTGACAATGCCGTTCGGAGTTATTCACCACCTTGCAACTTCCCTTTTTACGAAGCCATCTTTCAGCTGGCGTATTCCGTTCTCAGGATCGGGATTTTGATCATACCGATGTCGGGACGGACCTCTTATGAGTGAGTATGCGGTGCCCATGGGAGGGGAGGAAATCCGTAACGAGCAACCATTATGAAATTGGGTAGAATAGAGGGTTACACGAGGTGCCCATTGGGTTGGGTCGGGTCGGGTTGGGTCGGATCTAATCGGATCGGATCGATTTGCATGCCAGATTGAGAGTGCAAATCGGCTATCGTAGTGCAAGCCGATCGCGTTTGTTTTCAGGCGACGAGTCGGCCGATCGACCCGGCTCTTCCCGACCCAATCCGATCCCATCCACAATGGGCATCCGGTATTGGGGGAAGGGTTAAAGGTTGGATGAGGGGTAGGGTTAAAGGTTGGATGAGGGGTAGGGTTAGGGATTTGGTGAGGGTTAGGGTTACGTCTCTTCTTTATTTTTTGTTTGGAAGGTCGCTCGATACGGAAATCCTAGAGGGTGGTTGGCGGGTGCTCTGGTGTGGTTTGCTTCTTCTTTCCTGTCAGACATCTATCGTTTTTATCTCCCCTCCTTTTTTATGTTTGTTGTTCTCTTGTTACACCTCTAATCTTCGGGACTTATATGACCTTATTGTGTTGCAAATGCCGTAAAACACTTACTAAAACTAAACTAAAAACGAAATCCTTCCCATTGGAATATAGGTTCCGTTCAATTTTGTTCGATTTCTAGCGGCTACAGTACACACTAGTAAATAGACCCCTGCCTCAAAAAGATCGCCCTGCTGGTGGCCTTGAAAACAAAAGTGTTTGTATTTGAAGGTCATCGTCGGTTTCGTTCGGTTTGCGCCTCTATGGTGGCTTTTCTCTCTCCATAGAGGAAAATCTGGTTTGCACCGACGACCAAATCAAACCTTTTCGGACAGGTCCATGCTAATGAGCGCCAGGTTTTAAATGTATACATCATGTGTGTTAGTTGAGGTAGGGATTGTGGAGGATGGGGCGAGGGTAATTTGTGTTCGTATTCATAAGGGTGTATGGGATTGTGTGGGTGTTTGAAAAGAGAGACATAACGAAAGGGTGATAAGAAAATCAGAGAGAGAGAGACTGAGGGAGAGTGAGGGTG